AATAGGGAGCACCAGAGATCTCTTCAAGAAAACTGGAGATATGAAGATAACGTTTCATGCAAAGATGGGCATGATAAAGGATCAAAATGGCAAGGACGTAACAGAGGCAGAAGAGATTAAGAAGAGATGGCAAGATCTATATAAGAAAGAGCTTAACGTCCCTGATAACCACGATGGGGTGGCCACTGACCTCGAGCCAGACATCCTGGAATGTGAAGTCAGATGGGCCTTAGGAAGTCTGAGCAACAACAAAGCTAGTGGAGGAGACAGTATTCCAGCTGAGCTATTCAAAATCTTAAAAGACGATGCAGAAAAAGTGCTACACGCAATATGCCAGCAAATTTGGAAAACTCAACAGTGGCCACAGGATTGGAAAAGGTCAGCTTACATTCCAATCCCAAGAAGGGCAATGCCAAAGAATGTTCAAACTACCACACCATTGCACTCATTTCACACACTAGCAAAGTTAAGCTCAAAATCCTACAAGCTAGGCTCCAGCAGTATGTGGACTGAGAACTACCAGAAGTACAGCAGGATTTTGAAGAGGGAGAGGAACTAGAGATCAAATTGCCGACATACATTGGATCATGGAGAAAGCTAGGGGGTTCCAGAAAAACATCGACTTCTGCTTCATTGACTATGCTAAAGCCTTTGATTGTGTGGAGCACAACAAATTGTGGCAAGTTCTTATCTCTTGAGAAACCTGTATGTGGGTCAAGAAGCAACAGTGAGAACCACTGATTGGTTCAAAATTGAGAAAGGAGTATACTGTCACCCTGCCTGTTTAACTTATATGCAGAGCACATCATGAGAAAGGCGGGGCTGGATGAATCACGAGATGGAATTAAGATTGCTGGGAGAAATATCAACAACTTCAGATATGCAGATGATAAGATGATACCACTCTCGTGGCAGAAAGTGAAGAGGAACTAAAGAGCCTCTTGAAGCTGGTGAAGGAAAAGAGCAAAAGTTGGCTTGAAACTCAACATTAAGAAAACTAAGATCATGGCATCCGGTCCTCTCACTTCCTGGCAGATAGATGGGGAAGAAAAGGAGGTAGTGACAGATTTTATTTTCCTGGGCTCCAAGATCACTGCAGACGGGGACTACAGCCAAGAAATTAAAAGACGCTTGCTCCTGGGGAGGAAAGCTATGGCAAATCTAGACAGCATACTAAAAAGCAGAGACATCACCCTGCCAACAAAAGTGCCTATAGTCAAGGCGATGGTTTTCCCAGTTGCAATGTATGGCTGTGAAAGCTGGACCATAAGGAAGGCTGAGCACCAAAGGATTGAGGCCTTTGAATTGTGGTGCTGGAGGAGACTCCTGCGAGTCCCTTGGACCGCAAGGTGATCAAACTGGTCAGTCCTAGAGGAGATCAACCCTGACTGCTCTTTAGAAGGCCAGATACTGAAGATGAAACTCAAATACTTTGGCCACCTAATGAGAAGGAAGGACTCCCCGGAGAAGAGCCTAATGCTGGGAACAATAGATGGCAAAAGAAGAAGGGGATGGCAGAGGACGAGGTGGCTGGATGGAGTCACTGAAGCAGTTGGCGTGAGCTTGAGTGGACTCCAGGGGATGGTGGAGGACAGGAAGTTCTGGAGGAATGTTGTCCATGGGGTTGCAGTGGGTCAGACATGACTTCACAACTAACAACAACAACAATATTGCATTTTATTATATTTTACCATATGGATTTTCATTGTATGAACTTCTATTATATGAATGTTATTGTGATATGTTTGTTGGGATTGTACACCACCCAAAGAACCCTGAAGGGCTGCAGGAGTAGTTTATAAATGTAATGAATAAATAAATTGCATATGGTCATGCAGGGTTACCACAAAGTTTATTGTAGAGTTTTCCTTCAACCCATCAAGACATCCAGATCCAGAATTGCGTGTGTGTGTTTAATCCCACTAGGAGAACATCTTGTTTGGTTTGGGTTTTTTTTTTTTGTTTGTTTGTTTTGTTTTGCAAGCAAAAAAACAACCTAAGGGAACTAGCTCAGGACTTTTCACCAGATGTTTCCTCAACATTCATCTCATGACCCCAGCTCAATGCAGGCTAGATGGATTTGGTGTGCACTTCAGAGCTTCCAGCCTCAGCACAAAACAGGCAAAAATGGAAAAACACTTCTGGACAGGAGCTTGGTAAACATGCAAGATGAGCTTAGAGTTCTCTATTGGGGTGACAAACAGCACCAAAAATATGTGTGGAATTGTATTTCCAAAAATTGTGACATTTCAGTGCAAAGTTACATGTTTTCCCTCTTGGATTTCCATCTTCTTTGTGGCTGGAACTGCAAATCCATTTGCGATATTCCTACAAAATAGGACTTAAGAAAGAATACTTTGGCCATCTAATGAGAAGGAAGGACTCACTGGAGAAGACCCTCATGTTGGGGACAATTGACTGCAAAAGGAGAATGGGACAGCAGAGATTGAGGTGGCTGGATGGGGTCACTGGGGTGGTGGGTGTGGGATTGGGTGGACTCCAGGGATGGTGGAGGACAGGAGAGACTGGAGGAATGTTGCCTATGGGGTCGTGATGGGTCAGGCACGACTTTGTGACTGAACAAAACAAAAGAAAGAATTTCTTTCTTTCTTTGGCAGCACATGCATCTTCCTGCCCCTTCTTTTATGCATTAGGTAGTGTACTCGGGCATCACTGCGAGCACAGAAATATGTTCCTTCCTCTGCAAGGGAAACCTTCTCAAATTTTAGACCTGCTGTCTTCTTTGCAAGGATCAATTTTGCAGAGTATTTTCCCGATGGGGTTGTTTGATACCGATTTATTGCTAGTACATGTTCCGGAGCCATAGTAGGAAGCTGGTGCTACCAAAACAGGTAAGGGTTGCTCTCTATCATGTTGAAATTACATGGCAAATCTACATCATCTCCCTCTGGAATGCGGAGCTCAGGAACCAACTGGAAAACAGCGTCACTGAGGCCAAATTCTGTAAAATGGAAACAGCAAGAAGAAAATCATTTGTCCTGTCGTATACTTCTCCCAATCCATCCAGCAGTGTTTTTGCATCTATTTACCTGTCCTTTTTCTATGCATTTACCCTTCAGAGTCTTAAAAACAACGATTAAAAAGTAGAAGTCCCCTTTTTGTGAATGAGAAGGTAAATTCAGCAAAAGTTTGAATTCCCATTAAATGGCTACAGTTTACCATTTAAGAGCTGCAGAGCAGAGACCCCTTGGAGCAATCATCTTTTCCAGATATTTTGTATTCCAACTCCCATCAACCCCAGCCAATATGGCCAATGAACAGTGACCATTCAAGGCAACTGTAGAAGCTCAGGTTAAGGAAAGAATGCCATGGAGAATGCACCTAAAGCACCTCCTTGGAGCGTCACCAATTTAACTTCTCAGTATGATGAAACATTCCCATGACTGGATTTGCCCAAAACTTTTGGGGCAGCAACCTCAAATGCCCCCAAATTCCAGCCTGTGGCTCTTTAAATCACATCAGGCACTCGTGTCCAGTATTTGGGCATCCCATTGATGTGCTTCTATATTTAAGGAGAGGAGCAACTGTGAGGTCACGGATGGTTTGATACTCCCATGTAGCAAAAAAATGGATGGAACAATCAGACCTTGAGTGGCACCCAAGGATGATGTTACCTGATTTCAGGAGAAGGAGGAAGGGTCCCGGAAGGGTCCAGTCAGGAAGCATTTGGAAAGCAAAAGGCATTCCTGCCCTTGTCAAAGTTCAGTGGAGTTTCTTCTCGTTTGCTTTGCACTTTGAAGAAATTGCCGGTATGGTAACTTCCTTCCGGGGATGTCTCGGCAGTTTCCTGCCCCTTTATGTTGTTCTTTCATTGCCGCCCATCACAGTATTTTGCATAGTTGTCATTTAAAAGAAATACCTACCAGGCAAAACTTTGAAGAACACGTGATGGTCTTCTCTGCTCTCTAGTGGTTCCGTGTAGGAAACCAAGGAACAGGCATTCTTCTTATTATTATTACAATCATCATCAACAACAACAACAACAACCAGATGTGTAGATTTTCCATTTGGACATTATGCATGCTCTTTTCTCATGACTTCTTGGCATGAAGATGAAAAATGCCCTTTCCTTAGCAGAAGTTTGGCCACATTGGAAGGACAACAGTGGATACAACCTATTAATTCAGGTACGTACAAGTTTTTTGGGCTTGGAGGTTGCACTGTCCTCCACAGAAGACGGTGCGGGCCAACATGCATGAGCTCATTCACACACTCATTCCACACATAGACTCATACAAAATTCTCCCTGCCCTCCGCTTCACCAGCCCACAGATATTAGATATTTAGACCCTGGCAAAAGGATTTATTTATTTGTTAGATTTCTATCCTGCCTTGCTCTTTTTTAAGAACTTGAAGTGGCTTACATCATTCTCCTCCTGCTGCTCTCTGTCTTATCCACACAACAACAACCCTGTGAGGTAGGATGGGCTGAGAGTCTGTGACTGGCCCAAAGTCCCCCAGCTGGCTTTATGGCTGTGCGGGGTCTTGAACCCAGATCACCTGAGACCCAGTCCCACACTCGTAACCTCTCCCCCATGCTGGCTCTCAAAATGGTCTTCAGGATTGGGGGAGAGTCATTTCACCTCCTTCTCCATTTATGGGCAATTCCTTTTTATGGTAGGAATCCACTCCTGGAATATCAAAGAAAGTGGTGCTACAATTTGATACATGGGGATTTAAAAAAACATAGCTCTGTTCAAGAAATAGGATCCCTCACTTGTGATCCCCAAGGGGCAGGAAACATTCAAGGCAGGCCACTGATGGAGGTTGGTCTCCCTTCCCAAATGACGGAGAAATGGTTTCCACAACCAAATTGACAATGGGGCTTGGGACCTGGATACCTGAAGGAACACCTTCTTCCGTATTTGCCCTCCTGCCCCCTGAGATCGGCAGCAGAGGCCCTCCTCTGGGAGCCCTCCAGGAGAGACATCAGGAGGCAAAGTACCTGGAGGAGGGCTTTCTCTGCGGTGGCGACCCATCTGTGGAATGCGCTCCCCAGGGAGGTCTGCCTGGCGCCGTCATTTGCTAAGACCTTTTTATTTCAACAATATTTTAATAACTTTTAATATCAGTTTATAGGTTTTAATATGCAGCCAGGGTGGATCTGGATTTTATCTGTATTATGTTTTATTTTATTTATGTAAGCCGTCCCGAGGCTATGCGATGGGACAGCATGCAAATGATCTAAATAAATAAATAAACCACAGGAAGGAGGTTCCTTACCAAACATTGCCACTGTCCGACTTGCCTGGGATCTTACTCCTTCTCCAGAGGTCAGGAACCATTTCCATGTGGTGCAGTCCAAACAACCAACCAACCAACCATCCATCCATCCAGTTAATCAGCAGAAATATTCACCACTCCATGCTTTCACCACTGATCAGTCTTTCCCAAAGGAAAGAGGTGCATCTTGTGAAAGCCAAACTTAGAATATATAAACATCAAATAAGATCTGGAGAACTGCAAGGTAGTCTCTGCATTTGAACTGGATAATGGGACATGCAAGTGGCTGCCCTTGAAAACGGTCCAGAAACTTCAGTTGGTTCCAAACAGGGCAGCCCGTCTGTAAACAGAGATGGGCTGTCACAGAGATATCAACCCTGGCTCAGGGAGACACGGCTGGAGCCAACTTCAGGTACGTTTCAGCACCAGGTTAAAATGCTCTTATTCTCTCACCATTTTATTTATTTCTTTATTTATTTATTTGGGGGGCTTCTATGCCGTCCCATTCTCTGATGCCTCGGGGTGGCTCACAACCATAAATAAATAGAATCCAATAAAACAATATAAATTAACAATATATATTAAGACATCCTGGCCAAAGAATAAAATGAATAAATAATATTAACAATTAAAATAACGTTTGAATAAAAAGGTCTTTGCCTGGCGCTGAAAAACAAATAACGATGCTGCCAGGTGGACCTCTCTGAGGAGCACATTCCATAGATTGGGCGCCACCGCAGAGAAAGCCCTCCTCCGGGTACTCACCCTCCTAATTTCCTTCACGGAGGGTTCCCGGAGAAGGGCCTCTCCCGCTGATCTCAAGGGATGGGCGGGCATATATGGACGAAAGCACTCCTTCAGGTAACCAGGACCCAAGCCGTTAAGGGCTTTATAGGTCGTCACCAACACCTTGAATTGGGCCCGGACTTCAATAGGAAGCCAATTTAATTCTTTTAATTCTTGAAGAACATTTGGTTATACATTGACTTTTATTATATTGATATTGGTGCATGTAGACTGTTGTCTATTGTTGGTGCTTATAGTTTTGGTGCTTTATTGTTTATGTTGATTGTATTTTATTGGTCATAGAGATGTTCTTATGACTGATACAGCCTTTAAAGTGATGTTGTTATTACTGTTTTAAATCGAATGATAGTTATTATTCTGCTATTTTATGCAGGGGTGGGGTGGATTATATAGCCAACCTGGGCTAATGAAGAGAATAATAATAAAAAAAAAACTAAATAAATAAATAAAATGTGGGGTCAGGACCCAAATGTCTTCTGCAAATTCTCTTATGGGAATGTCCAACATGCTGAGAAATTGCATCCAGATGCTAAATGCGAGGTGCTTTTCTTGTTCAAGGCAAAGTGTTAGAAAGGTTCTCTAAAGAAGCCTTCTATAGCACAGTCCTTACCGGCCATTTCCACTAAAAGACCCATTCTCCTGACCATGAAACAGCACTGATGACATAGCTGGGCTTTGACTCTTCCGGAAGAGACACCCCTAAAATTGTCAGAGGAATTGTCTGATTTCCAAGGAACACAACAGTAGAAACTTTTCCCTCTGCAGATGCCTGATCCTTTGAGCATTAGCTCTGTAAGCAGGTGAGATCATTCATAATTCTCTATCCAAAGTTTGCAGCGCTAGTGACTGGAGGATCATATTGGTTGGGGAAAAAGGCTACACATGCACATAGCAAGCAAAATGTGGCAGGTTAGCTTGTTTTCACACCTGCCACCTTCTTTGGTTTTTGTGCGCAACTCTATGCACAAAACTCTGACACCACTGTGGAATTCAGAGCGCAGTGATACACCCCTTGGTCTGACGCAGAAACTTTCCAGATCCTCAGGCTCGCAGTGGACCAGGCACCCTGCTCGTGGTTCAGAGTTCCAGAGTATCTTGACATTAGATATACAGGATTAAGGATACTTAGGGTGAGCTTATGCTCTGGTGGTTGATTAGGAAACTGATGGTACCAGTACAAGTAAGGAACTGAGACTGTAGTTCTGAAATTACAGCTTAACTGGGCATCTTCTCCCTCTGAGATGGGCGGCACTGACGGGACCTGGAAAACTGAGTCACTTAGGCCCAAATCTGTGAAAAGCAAAGAGGAGAAGTATCTTAAATGTGCCCTATATGTCTGGCTCGTGTCTGCAAACCTTTCTGCCTTTCTCCCCCCTTTCTCCCTTTGTCCTGGTATTCATCCTTTGCAGTTTGCTTTTAACTGCCTCTGACTCTGTATGTAAAAAAAAGAAAATGCAGAATCCTTACTCATGTAGAAACAACAAAACAAATAATACGTACTACAGCAGTTTTTCCCAAATTGTGCACCCCAGTTGGACTGCACTCTCCCATCATCCCCATATCAACATAAGCCATGCTGGAAGGAGGTCACAGACAATGTAGTCCAACATGTGTAGAAGCGGAGGCAATTTGGGTTCCTTCCTTCCTTCATTAGATGTATATCCCGCTTTTTTCTTCTAACAAATGCAAAACAGCTTGCATCATCCCCCTCCTCCTGCTCTCAGGCTCATCCCCACAACAACAACCCTGTGAGGTAGGCTGGGCTGAGAGCCTGTGACGGGCCCAAAGTCCCCAAGTCAGATCCATGGCTGAGCGGGGACTCGAACCCGGATCACCTGAGTCCCAGTCCCGTGCTCCTCACCACTGAGCCGGACTGGCACTCAAGCCCGGCGTGAAGCGTTCCAAGAATAAGGGAACATTTCAGGGGTGACCACAGTTGACGTGAGACGGGTAACACGGCAAGGAGATGCTGCCCATGAAGGGTTTGGAAAATACCTACCTAGCAAGGAACCCAGCAGAATGAGCACGGACAGAGCGATGGGCATCCTGCAGAGAAGAAAACCAACTCTCCTTCCTTCCTCTCCGAGTCAAGTTTTTCTTTTCGAATGAGTGGGAAAGTGAGACACAGAGTCATAGATCACTGGCTGAAAGAGAGCTGGGAAACCGCAGCTCAGCTTTGATAAACTTCTGCTCCCTTGCAGGGGATGGGCATGAATAACATTTCCTGGGGGGCTGGATTTCTTTCTGCTCCCCTCCCCTCCCCTCCCCTCCCCTCCCCTGAGCCGTCCCCTAAGTGGCTGTTTTCTTTGCCACTGTGCTCACATTTTAAAGAAATTGGGCTCATTCCTACCATGGCCTCAACTATCAGGCCCTTCTACACACAATAACTGGGAAGAGTGTTGTCTAGTGGTTAGAGAAATCTTCTCCAGACTGGTGCTTTCCAGATATTTTGGACTACAACTCCCAGAATCCCTGACGTTCAGCAAAGTTAGCTGAGGCCAATGGGGGTTGAGGTGCAAAGTATCTGGAAGGTAGCTGGTCAGGATAGGACCATCACTAACTAACTTGGCTACCCTCCCGGACTAGCACTTCTATCATCCCCAGTCAGCAGAGCCCTCTGGAGGGTCCCAGCTTGTGTTGGCATTGGAGATAGAAAATCTGGGTTCAAATCCTTGTTGAGCCCTGACTCCACCCAGGTAATTTCAGGGCATGTCATGATTTCTCATTATGCTCTACCTTACAGGGGTGTTGTACAAAGAGAAAGGACAGGCAGGGCAGAAATGTGACAATGAATGGAGCTGGAGGGACAAGTCTTTGGAACAGCAATCCAGTCTTTGGAACAGAAATCCAGCAATCCAGCTCACCTATCCCTTCCAGAATCAGACCCAATGCATTCCAACGTGTGATCAGATAGTGAGGTGTAGTGGTTAGAGTTTCCGAATAACCCCATGAAGTCGCCATGAAGCTTCCTGGATGAGCTGGGGCCAGTCAATATTGTACTGCCTTCCCTACCTCACAAGGCTGTCATGAAGATAAATGGGGAGAAAACCATGTGTGCTTCCTTTCCAGGAAAAGCATGGATCCAGATGTAGTGAAATAAATCTCTGGCCTTTAAACATCTATTATGTTTAATTTTGCACATCAGGGCATTTCTTAAAAACAAAACCAAGACCGCATCTACAGTCTGAAGTAGCAGAATCCAGTTGTAACCTCTCTGAATTCTAGCACTTTCTTCTGCTGTATAAGATTTAGCCCAGGCCTCAGAAGTCATATTCACAGAGCAAAGGTCTCTCTTGGCTACTTGCCATAATAATGGAACCTTCACATGCAAGAGCAGTATATCTGAACACCTGATGCTGAGAGGAAGGGAGCATGTCGAACAAAATGTAGAAGTTAACTTCATGTCTGCAACTTAGGCTTCCCAAAAAGATCTAATTCCCTGCTGCTGGATTCAGGATCCTACCCCAAAAGGGGCCTCCACTTCTGTCTGGCTAGGCAAGGATCCCTTTTGCTCTCAAATTCTTAGAAAGAACCTGCTGCCCATCATCCTCATGAGAACCTGCTCTTGAACAAACAGTGCCATCTGGTGGGCAGACATGCCTCTTTTTGAGAAGTTAATTGCCTTTCAACTTGGAGCCA